ATTAGAAGCTGCAGAGCTTCTTCATGAACTGGAGTCCATTCCCATGATACTCCCTTCCGCAATAAGTCATACAATGGACGGGCAATGATAGAAAAATCTGGGATGTGTTTTCTCCAAAATACCAAAAGTCCGAGAGCATGCTGCAATTCCTTTTTGTTTTCTGGCATCTTAAGTTTGTCCAAGGCTGAGAGGATGTCTTGTGGAATACAGGCCATACCGCCCTTCCACCAGATACCCAAAAATTTTACCTCAGCCGCTGGAGACTGAATTTTATCTGGTGGAATAGTCAAACCCAGTCCTTCTAAGTGCTTTATTATTCTATCATGGGTTGTCTTAACAGCTATCAGCTGATCACCTCCTATGAGGATATCATCAATGTATTGATAAATTTTAACTCCTTCTTCTAGGGGAATCTGCTCAAGTTCTTGTGCCAATGCATGGTGAGCCAAAGTTGGAGAGTGTTTATACCCCTGAGGGAGGCGGGTAAATGTATATTGCTGGCCCTCCCATGTAAAAGCAAAACGCAGCTGATCATCTGGATGCAGGGGAACCATAAAAAACATGTCCTTAACGTCAATAGAGGCCATGATAGGGTGAGCTTGCTCCTGGATGGCTGCTATCAATTCAGAGAGATTAGGTACAGCTGCAGTTAGTGGCGCTGTGTTAGCATTGAGCCTGCGATAGTCAATAGTTAACCTCCATTTGCCATTTGGTTTTCTGACAGGCCACACAGGAGAGTTAAAAGGGGAGTGAGTGGGTATTACAATTCCCTGTTCCTTTAATTCTGCCAACACGGGGCTAATACCACTACGTGCCCCCAGGGGTAAAGGATAAGGTTTAACTGTAGTCAAGTGGGAGGGGGGAAGCGGGGGCGCGACCTGCAACAGGCGAATGTCTAGAGTGGGGGCGCCGAACACCCAGCTCCCTCCCTGGTCGTCTATCCAGCTTCTACCTTTCAAGACGTCTAGTCCTAATAAGTTAAGGGGATATTTTCCCACAACCATGGAGATTTCTTGCGCTATTTCCTCTCCAGGTATTCGCAGCCTCACTGTTGCTATGGTTTGAGAGTGCACGCCGCCCATCGCATCTGCTACAAATATTTTCTTGCGGGATAGGGTCACACCAGCACTATCAGCATCCTCTGTTTTAATGGCAGAAATTTGTGCCCCGGTATCTACCAGGAAAGTTACTGGGATCAATTTAGGTTCAACAATGCATGTGATTAACAGATCGTTACCTTTTGTTGTGAGCTTTCTAATGTGCATCCAACCTCCGCCCCCCCGCTCACTTGAGAGGAGCGAAGGCACTAGTTTTCCTGAGGTCCTACCGCCTGTGCTGATTCCAAAGGGGGGGCACTAGGGGATGGAGTGTCACTCTTTTCGAACTTTTGTTTTGGCCACCAATTTACTAATTTCTCTAGCCTGTCTGTAGATAATCCATCCATAAGCTCTCGCGGAATGCCCTTCTGCCAGCCCAGCGTCCAGAAACCATTACGTTTATGATCTATATTTCTCCCACTTGGCTTTACTGAAAATGAAGCCCCTTTAAATCCGTTGTGAACTAGGTTGGATGGGAGAGGGGTCGGATTAACCACTGCACGCCTCACTCCCTTAGCCTCTGGTCTAACGGTGAGGGTAGTCACAGGACCGTACCTTCGGCCGTAGTTTATTAACTCTTGAGCGACCTCCCCCCATGTCCACACTTTGTATGCCGTCTGGAGATTGTTGGGGGTTATAGTTCCTTCTAACGCTGCCCGGGCCCTCTCTCCTTGAGGCATTGCCTGTATTTTTCCTTGCAGTTGAATACCTATAGGTTTTAATGACTCTGGAAGCCCCCTAATTAGAGGGGTCATTCTTTCAGGATCGACAGGCATCATCATAGGTGATTCATGGTGCGGCTGCAGCTTTCTATCATACATCATTTGGAGACAAGCAGCCTTTTGAACACTCTCTACTAACTGATCAACTGTTCCAGTAATGGCAAGAGGGTCTCCCCTTTCTAAAGGGTTGAGACCACCTGCCCAATAGGCAGCTCTTTGTGTTAAGGACCAGGGAGCACGACTGTTGCCAGTAGTTAAAAATACTCCTGGTCCCCAGTAACCTTCCGCCTCCTTTTCTGTTAGCAGAATCTGGTCGCCACCAGTGAGACTAACCCTCCATACATATTCTGTTTCTGATTCCTTTGGAGAGCGGCTGAAATCTTTCTTCAATTTCGCCAGTTCAGTGGCTGAGAAGGGAATTTCCTTAACATTCATTTGAGGATCTAGATCCTCACTGTTATCAAATGTATATTCAGTTTTTATCAAAGGACGCATCTGGGCTGGAGAGGCCTCCAATTTGTCTAACCTTGCCTTCATTTCTTTCAATCCTTCTAGAGGATAGATTTTTTCTTGAGGCAAACTATGAGCGATAATATCGCTATTATCTTTGTACCTTAACTGCTCCTTCAGAGCCTCTAGTAAGAGAGCTGAATCATGCTTTTCATTTTCTAATTGCCTTTTTAGTTCCTCTGTTTGTTTCTGCAGAGTCTTGACCAGTTCCTGCAGCGACTCTATAGTTTGGGTTTCTGCCTTAAGTTGCTGGTCTCGGAATTCTGTAGCTGCAACCAGAGCAGAACCTAGTACTGCACAGATAAACGACTTTCCTTTTCCAGCTCGAGTACGAGCATTCTTTTGCAGGATACTAATACGGTCCGAAACACTCTGCAAGTTATACCAGTTCTGTCGTGCCCAATCCATACCTGATAAAGAGGGTCGAGCACCATGTTTTTCTAAAAGATCAAATAATACATCTTCACTTTTCATGTTGGCAATGCTGTCGCTCATTTTTTCAATACAATGAAAGGCCTACACTAAGGGAGGTGTACGTATTCAAGAGCTCAAGTGACTCGTTATCTCTCCTCCCAGGGAGATACAGCACACCTAAACAAATGCAAATGCTCCAATCACTCCCCCCTTTCTTTGGGGGAGCACAAAAAAAATGAGACGCTAAAGCAAAACTTTCTAGGTTTCAATGGAGTAAATAAAATTTCTTGGAGAGGCACACACGTTTAAGTAACAAAATATCACTTCCTTTCTTCCCCAAGAGGTGCGTGCATGCAGACACACACACACGCAAAAAGGTTCAAGTTTCGCACTTCAGTTACCAAATAACCAGAGAGGTCTTCCCGAGGAGGCACACACGTATTAAACAAAATGCAAGTATTCAAAATACGTCCCCGAGAGGTACACACATAAAAGGTAAAGTTTCAGAATATGGAGCGGTCTTCCTGGAGAAGGACTCACGTCTAAATTTTCAAAACTATCGCTCCTTGCAACTCCAGGAGGTGCACACAGAGAAAAAAGTTTCAAACAGTATCTGGAAGGACAACACTCTCACAGCGGGTATCCTGCAACGACTACGCCATTAAATAAATGTCTCGCTCCAATTTATAGGAGGGAGAGGAGGTTCTTTTATTATCTATATACCCGGTGTGAGATTAAGAAGCAACGGTTCAAATGTTGGTCCAACCAGTTTATTACAAATCTTAATCAGGAAAAATGGGGAAGGGAGAACGGACACTATTATGAATTAGGGTAATGGGGGAAGGGAAGGGGGGGCGATAGAAAAGATAGGAAAGAGGAAGCAAGGGGTCTTTATAGGCAGCAATAGGGAGATAGTCACCACCATGGATCCAGCGAGGTTCGTAGCTTAGTCTTTGATCTTCAGTAGCGGTGGGTCGTCAGGTATTGTTGTCCTGTTGCCAACGACGACGACGACCATGGTGATGATGGCTCTTTTTCAATACTTCAAAGTGTGAGTCAGCTGTTTTTGGAGTGACAGCTCAGATCCAAAGTGGTCGAATCAGCTCTCCTTTGAGTGACAGATCAAACCCAAGGTGGTTGAGTCAGTTCTCCTTGCGGTGACAGCTTCTGGCTCTGGGATCTCAGCAGGAACCTCCTTTGTTCTTATCTTTCTGGCCTTGCCAGCAGATAAGAGGAAGCAGGGAGGCACCAACTTGCATCTTGCCTTCGCAAGATACAATGGTATCATCCCCCAGCCTTCCATACTTAGCTGGAGCGGTTTGGCCACAGGCCAGATCTTCCGCCAGTGAACACTGCTGAGCACTCTCTTCCGCTCTTCTACAGAGCAAGCAGCTCTGGGGGAATGGGCTTGCAAATGTTCCCAAAGCGATATCGATTATCACACGGTTAGCACCCATCAGTTGCCTCCTTGGCAAGTCACTCAGAGTCTTATCACAAGGAAAACCTCAGGAAGCAAGCTTTGAGCCAAAAAAAAACTAAGAAGGATTCTCACACACGGCCACAGCATCCATAGCCCAGAGGATCGGGACATCGGGGCCCTAAATACTCTGAGTGTTCATTCAGTGCAGAAATAGAAATGATAGCTGCTGTAGGTTAGCAGTGTGTGCTGCCCTAGGCAGAAATAAGTCTCTAGAGAAATCAAGACACAACGGCTATTGCTTCACAATCAACTGGAAAGCATAAAATCTGGTAATTCACCAAGTGCAGTATAGTGTGTTAAACAGAGAAGTGCAGGAGTGGGAAACAGTTCTGGGCTGATCCAGCTCTGGGGAGGAGGGCATCACTTGAACGTAACAGCAACAAACCAACAAACAAAAGAATAAAATACAAAAATTTGCCTTGCTTGCAAACAGAACGGAGCAGAGCGATGGAGAATTTTCTTTTCACACAAGATCAATGGACGAGCAAGAGACAAATAAGAGGCAGCAGCCTGAGTGACAGCTGGGCACAGACAAGTTCCCCTGCTGCTGCTGGTGGCCAGAGCCCATTTCCAGGAGGCGCAGCCAGGAGATGTGCTGAGCTGGGAGTCAGACCTGCTGGAACCTGGGGGTTGAAAGCAAGAGTTGAGATGGTGCCCCAGCTGTGCTGTGCTTCTCTGGGAAAAGAGGCATGAAATTAAAGTTAGGTTCCCCAGTAGAACACAGGAAGCACGTGAAATTCATTGCAACACAACTTCAAAAGCATCACAGATGAAACGTCTGTGGATCACAGGTTTATTTTTAATGACACAGCACTGGAAAACAGAAGTTACAGGTGACTTTTTGATACAGCATACATTATGTACCTTAATTTAAAAGGATCTGTAAGGTGCGCTGCATAAATATTATTGTGAAAAGATGTTTATTTCTCAGAGATTAACTTTGTCGTGTTTTTTTTTATTCAGCCAACTAAATAAAAAAGTATAGATGAGCATCATAACAGTTCCCCTTCCAGATTACCTCACTGTAACTACTGCAGCCGGAAGAGGAAACCGAGCCATGCCTTCTCAAAGGTTCAGCAGCTTTGAAAACGATGCCATTCATCATCTCAGAATGAAAACCTCACCTCACTCACACGGACGCTGTGCAGTGCTTTGGCAATGGAGCAGCTGGTTCTGCTTTGGAACAAAACTGTTGTCTGGAATGCCAGACAGTGGGAGAGCAATGCATGCCCTGATGGCACTGCACAGCCACAGCACTGCATGACATTGCTGAGATGCACACATACCCACATGCACCTGCAGACACACATCCAAGTAACACTGGAAAACATTGCAGCAGTTAATGATATTTTTTAAACAAGTGAAACTTGTAATAGTTTGACCTCATTACTACAGGATTACTAATTAAGTTTTCTGCAGTGCAACTCAATACGATGCACTGAGTGCAGACAAGTTCAGGTTTTGCTACCAAGGAGGCTAATTTTGGATTTCATGGGAAAGGACCAAACACAGGATCACCACAGCTCTGGCAAAGCACAAACAAACCTGTTGCCACGTGCATGTGAACAAATGAGGACATTTCTGTTTGTATTTGATTTTTTTTCACACACTGCTTCAGAAATGGCTAGCTTAACTGCTTGCACTCATGCTCATTTTGATACGCTTCAACAAGCAACCAATCTGTAAACCATTAACAGCCTGAACTACAAAAAAAGGGGGCTCCTGTGTTTCAAGGAGGTGAAGAACCCACTGACTGAGCTTCAAACCACATTCGTGTGCCTGTGAGAAGAACTGTTCCAGATGGCGTGTGAAGTTCTCTGGGAAAAGTCCTTTATAACCATTTGCATCTCTGTGCTGAAGCCACTCAGATTCCTTAATGCCTGTCAAGCAGCCTCCTGAAAGAGAAAAGACAGAGCATCTTCAGGGTCAGCTCTCTCCCATTCCTTTCTGCTGACTCCAGGCCCAGAGAAGTTTTAAAGGCTAAAAGCAGTGGTGATTTGTTACACAGCATACTCTGATTTTGCACAGACTGTTTTCTCTGTTCTGCCATGGTTTGGTGAGACTGTGAGCACATTAGATGGCCTTTATCCCACCTAACCTCCAACTGAACTGAACATTGGATGATCAGCCGCTGGAGTCATCCAGTGTCACAGCAAACCTGCATTTGTGCAAATGCACATGGAGATGTTTTCAAAGTTCTCACAGCAATATTGGGATACTGACGCAGGAAGAGCACAGCAGTGTGCTAGAATCATTATAGAATGCCACAGATGAGGGGGAAAAATCCATGTTTTCATCTGATTATTTTTTTCTGAGAGTTCTTTTCTCTCATCCCTGTATTGACAGTCAGAAGAAATAACAGTTCTTGTTTTCTCTGCCATCACAATCGCTAGAAACTAAAAGTCAGTTGATACTCAACAACCTTTTCCAGAAATTCCTGGAAGCTTCAGCCTAAGCCAGATCTTGGCATGCAATGCTGCAATCCAAATCCATCAATCCAAAGGAAGATTTCTTACTGGAAAGTGCTGGTTCTCCTAGGTGCTATCCATTTCACCTGGAATAAAACCCATGCAGTATTTTTGCAGTGATCAGCCTATTTTCATCTCACCACATGGCTAACTCTGTGCTTTGTTCCTTTTAAGAACAGGAGTCAGAGTAAAGTGATGATTAGCAGGCAATTTCTAATGCTGATTCATTATTATTCTACAGAAAGTATGAAGAGAGATGGAGTAACTGGCAGCACGTTTTTGAAGTCACCTTTTGGAAAACCTGAGGTGGGGGAACTGAAGTTTTCTACCATGGACAGAGTAGATTCTGCTCAGGACTGAAGCTGTAATGGATGATGACTTCAACTCAATAATTACGGATAAAAGTTGGAGTCACTGGCTGGGATGAGTTGACTTTGCACAGGGAGCACAGGCTGACAGCACCAGCTATCTCAGAATGATGGTCTTAGATCAATTTTGCAGGAGAAGAAAGAACCAAGATCAAATACTCTCTGAAATCAACAAATTATCTGGTAAGAGAGAAAAATTGAGTTCTAGGTGATGTGAAACACAAAGGGCAAATATGCACTGAGTAATAAAGATATGAGCAGAACGATCTCAGCAACACGAATACATGGGGCTTCATTTTCTCCATCACTGCACACGATTCACTCCAATGAACGCTAATGGGATTTGGATGCACACCACAAGAGAAAAACAATCAATGGATTCACCAAGGGAAGGTTATATAGATTTAATACAAAACATGATAAGAAAAAATAACTGAGGACAGCCTATTTTTATATCCTTAGAGTAGATCCTGCAAATACTGACAATGAACTCAGCTGAACAGCCCAAGAGGTGAGACGCAGCACAGTTTGAGTAAGCATAAGAGGATCTGTCCCTACAAAATAACAAAGTGTCCCAGTGAAAAGGAAAATAAAATAATCTTTTATTCAGAAACAACAATAAAAAAGAATCAAAAACCAAAGCAATTACTCGTCTCTTGTATTAAGAGAGAGTTCAGCTTAGATAACAAACAGTCTCTGGCTCTCCAAACACGCGCTGACAGCATTTGGGCATGTTTGAAGAACTGCTCTTCATTCGGAGCAGAGACCTGGCTGTCTCACTGTGCAGGTCCAGAGCCCAACCTCCCAGCTCCCAGTTCAATGGGATGCTTTTCATCAACGCTTTCTGCCACTGCAGCCACAAAGTGGCTCGTACGAATTGTACAAGATGGGCTGCTCTTAAAGAGGAGGTAAAAAATTCATTCACTTGACTGCAAATCAACATAACGTGTGGAATCAAATCGTTTAAAAATTAACCTGAAACACACTGTTAAAACAAAATAAAGCATCTTAAATGACACTGAACTGTTGAGTTCTTGCACCAAAGACAAAGCGATTGCTGGTGCAGCTCAGGAGCACAGCTGTGAGGCTCAGGTCCCAAGAGGCACACAGGACATGCAGGAACACCTCTGTGCCATTGGGCTGCAGGACAGAACTGTTGGTGTGCAGTCTCAGTGCTCTCTCCGGGCAAACGCATATTTCTCCTGATCTCCATGTAAAACTCTGAACGTGTGGGGAAATACAGTCAGTTCTGACCCAGTGTTACAACAACATGATAGCAGGATGCACAATTTGTAAGCCGTCTTCTGTATTCAGCCTGTGCCTGTATGTAAGCCTGTATAAAATTCACTACAAAGCAACATAAAAGTGCCCTAGAAAAATGGACTGAAGTTGGATCCTGCTGGCAGTACATACCTGGGACTTCAGCTTAGTTAGCTGTGCTGCTTGGTCACAAATCAAACCAAGTAGAAGGGCAAAATAAGAATGCTGGTGTTTTCTAACAGTAAAGATGTTTTGAACCAACATTTCAAATTAACTCTAAAGAGTGAGAAGGAAACTGAGACAAAAGGAAACATTAGCAAAAGAAATAAGTAATCATGTTGTTGTTACCTGATCAGCTGTGGTCTCAGAAGGAATTACTAGTGCAATATCCCCTCCATTCAAATTAAGCTGGTCACCGTTAGCTGCCTCAAAATCATGCAGAACTTCAACCTAAAGGAAATACCAAATGTACAGAAATGATCAAAACAGAGACACTGTGAAAAAAGAAAAATGTACTCTTTCACTTCTTTCTTTATGGAAATATATGGCCATAGACACGTACATTCAAGCTGTTCATGTCCACATCAAAGTTTCTAATCACAGTTTATATAACAGGTACAGCTTCAGTAAATCTTCCTGAAACTACTGAAAGAAACCAAACCTCCTTTCCCAAGGTTGCAGAATCCCACAGGTGCTGCCTCTTGGACAAGTCCTGTTACATTATTCCTACCGTGCAAGGAACTTGCCTTCATTTCCCACTATCATGCCTAGACCTGAGGAGAGGGATGGCAGGATTTTGCCAATAAGCTTGGAGAAGAATCTCCAAGGTAAGGGTCTCCAAAGTAAGGGTCACTTCAGACCCTTCCTTATGCTGTCTGCTGGATACTGTGATTGATGGAAACATCCCTGGAAATTAGAGGGAGAGGTACAGCACCAGTTTCAGTACAAGACAAAAGAAGTGAGTAATGGGAACCACAGCTCCTGTTTGTCCTGGAAAGAACTCCCATTCACTGGCAGATAGGAATGCCAAAAACATCTCTCTGTCAAAGAGGTGATCATTAAAACATTTGTGGGGTTAGCACACTGTCCTGAACAGACCATTGTAACTAAATAGCTCTTCCTCCTGAAGAGAGGCACTATCCTAGTTTTCTCAAAGCACAGACAGTTCCGTGGTCACTGCAATAATGAAACAATACAGCATCGAGAACCAGATGGCAGTCATGTATTCTGCTGCTCCTTACTTACGTTTGACTCAAGGAAGCGTGACAAAAAACAAAAGATGAACAACAGATGAGCAGGTCTGCACCAAAACTGCACAATACCGGTCACTCTAACCTTAATGCCATTCTCACTGTTTGCTGAAAATCTTGACCAGTGACCTTGGATCAGAAGGAATGGCATATTTATGGAGTGCTATGGGACTAACTAGTCTGAAGTATGCAAACGATAGCAGGAAGCACATAAAGTTCATCTAGCCTCAAGGAGCGTTTCTCCTGCTCACTGATTCTGAAGTGAAGGAACCTTGTGAACCAGGAATCTCTGTGGCTCTTACCAGCCAAGGAGAGGATTTCCCTGCAGCTTCATTAAGCTCTTCTGTCTGAATACCCTAACAGTTCGTAGGGACAGCAATACTAAGGACATGAAAGGACACTTCAACTTCATTACAGTGAATTGTTCAAGTCCCACAGATTTCAATAGGGCTGGAACTTCCTCTACAAATTCTCAGGCCAGAAAAACGCCTTTTTGGTACTGTTAGCAAACGATCCTATGGTACTGCTGACTAAATCCCTGGCAGTGGAATTTTACTTAAAAGATTCACTGTCTGTACTGATTTGGCAAGATGAAAGGAGACCTCTAATGATTCTTACAGCTACAGAGGGATATAACCAACAAAATCCAAGTGCAGAAAATGTTTCTCAAAATTCACGTATGGAGATGAAACAACCAAAGGCTGGGTGAGTGCATGTGCATGCAAGCATGTGGCTGTGAAACCAGGCATCCTTTGGCCTCAGTAAACCATCGTAATGACTCAATTTTCAGACACATCCACAGAAGCTAGATGTGAAAAGATGTCTAAAAGAACAACAAACCGGCAGACCTTAAAGAGAAAGCCCAGTGGCATGTCAGAAGCTGTGCCTCCTGCTGACGCAGGCTGATCTTGAGAAGGTCTGCATTTCTTCAGTTGGTTCCTGCTCACTTCCAACTTGGCAAGTTTCACCATCAGTGCCTGAGTGCCCATCTCTGCTGCAGCATCTTCGGACTCATTCATCATGACATCATGTTCTTCTCCTTCCCCTGCGTTGTTCGATGCTGGCTCCATTACTACCGAAGGGTAGTAATTTCATTTCTTTCCTAGAAAAGAAATAAAATACAACAAAAGCACCACAAGAGTATCTCCCGCTTTATTTCAAGTTGAAAAACATGTTTCTTTACTTCTGCTGCAGGTGGGATTCTTACCTCAAGATAGAGAACAATAATTGTGCAGAAAAGTAAAAGTTCTAAGAGCTTAGAGGAACACAAGGTGAAAAGCAGAAGTGACCTGGACCTCTTTCAGGGCTGTCCCAGTGTCTGTGTGAAATCCATCACACAGCAGAGCACCTTCAGGACTGAGGGAGGTTGTTGCCAAGAGCCATGGGACATATTACTGTACAAGACTTACTATGGGATGCTTAAGGGAGAAACCAAAAGCAGTGGGTGGGTTGAGGCGATCTGGGGAGGAACAAGTGTGGGACAACAAAGGCACAGGTAACAGCAGAAATGGACTGCTTGCACGTAAGCATGGACAGTTCAGATGTTATCTGGCCACGTCCTGCACCTGATGAGTGTGGTCTGTCCTATCTTCTCATCAAGTTGCTGGCTAACTCCTCTCCAGGGTGAGGGCTGTCTGTTGTTCTTGCTCGTGTGTGCATTAGGCTCAGACCGTGGATTGGAAGGCCTGTGTGCCCATCTGCCAGCTGCAGGAGAGATCCAGGTGCCAGCCACTGGAGACACTCAGGTGAGTGGACTTGAGTGACAACAGCATGTACATACGAATACATGTATTCTCACTAGTAGAGCTCTACCTACTCAGCCAGAGGTGAACGCGATGAGGCCTCCGGTAATGCTTGTGTTTGTGTGAGTACCCCGTGTGCCTGCCTTTGATTCCCATGGCTGTCTGTGTGTGTACAAATATGTCTGTGTGCTCTGTGTGTGCACTGACTGAGAATACATGCTCATCCTCACTGCTTGTTGGACCCTGGGGCATGGAGCTGCATCAGCCTCGCCTGTGCTGAAGCTGCTGGATCTGGCTGGATTCCTCTAATGCTCCCCACACAACAACATGAGGTACCTGGGAAACATCTATCTCCTTTTCTTCTCCCTGAGGTTTGTCACCTCCAGCAGCAGCCTCCTGTTCTGTGGGAGCAGCACCCTCACCAGCTCCTGATCCCACCACCACACTGTCTTCCACTCCAGTGGCCCATCTGCAGCACTCACCACCTGCAAGATAAAAGGAGAAACCTTTCAGGACACGAGCTGTGCATATCAGCTGGAGATATCCTGCACTCTGCCATCTCCTTAGGTGCTGCCGGCCCCTGGCTTTGGTTTCACTGGGGTTTCTCCTGACCCAAGGGAGAAAGCAGCACTGGAGGCTGCCATCCTATACCTGAAGCACCATGTAGGGAGCACAGGGGTAGGCTTACATGACAAAGCTGATTTACAGGCAGGAGAGGGACATTTACAAAACCTTCCTGTCAACATGCAGTAGAGTTTCAGATGGGTATTGCTAGTGTAGGAAACATTTCTCAAGGCTCATGTGTTCTCACTGCCTCTTCTTCCTCACACCTATACAACAACCTCCTTCCACTGCTCTCTGAAACACTCATGGGACTGCATTCTCAGGGCTGATTTGCCTCCAAGCTGTGTGGTGTGAGAAATGCCCTGCAGGTTCAAGGTGAGTTGAAGCTTGGCAAACTGCCCGGAGGTCCCCTGTGCTACTGAAAGTCTGCTCTAGGGAACAGGCTGCAAGCCTGCTCCAGCTGCTGTCTGCCATCTCTAGACCTGGACTGACTTCAAGAGCATTAGTTAGACTCCTTTTGAACAGAGATGTGCAACTTGGGCTATGTTAGCTGAAGCAAATATATTCTACAGCTAGATGAAGGTTAGAAATATTCAGATATCATCAGGTATCAGAAAATGTTAGCCTATAGCTAGGCTGATTTTAAAAAAGAAAGAAACATAAATAAAGACCCAAGTAGATTTTATATGACTGAATCATTCGTCATTAGTCTGTGTTGAAAAGTCAGCATGCATTTCATTTCAGTTATTGAAAGGTGGATAGAAAAGTACCTTCCTGAAGGCCATTGTTAAATCCTTCCTCCAGCATAGGTAATTTATGTATCACCCCAACATTTGTGTTGGTACACACTGGTATTTGTTTACAGTAATACACTTGAATTAAGTTTATTGGAGATTCATCTTGATGGTGAAGGTAAATAAAAAAACACATTCTGTCAATTCAATTGGCTTCAGGAAGTTGTTAACACTAAAGAAAAGCTGTTTTCTAGGTACCAGCGTCAAGCTAAGTTCAGCAGAAATTCAGTTCACAGCCTGATGCTCTGCTTCCTCAGTTTGATTTTCCACCCATGAATGAGACCAATGCAGCTCTCTGAGCTCAACCTGAACTGCCTGCATTTGTTCACAATCATTCTTCAGTCACTGTTGTTCAGCTCTATCTACCCCTACTGGCTGACATTAACTGATGTGGTAAATAAATTCTTCTGCAGTCCTTGAAAGCAGGAAATACTCCAGTGCTTTGCAGAAACCACTGGAGAAGTTTTAGCTTCAACTGAAAATTCTGCTAGGGAAGGATGCTCTGCCACAAACAGAAGTATTATCAAAAGATATGGACAGATGTTGACATCTTCTCCTGTGACTTGTAAGGCACGCAAACCTGTCTCACAGAGTATTACCAATTTAGCAGTCTTGACCCAGGCTAGTATTCAAATAAATGGTGGTTGTAAAAGCCTTGGAAGAGACCAGTATGAAAGGAGGGGAACAGAATGCCTATCAGATTGATTTCACCACATGTGCTTCTAACAGCATGCTGCACACACTGATCCTGCTGCCTGCTGTGATTAGGATCAACGTTTATTTTCTATTTACTGCATTTGTACAGCCAATTTTCTTCTACAGTGGAGGAGAATTTTAATTGACATGAGTCAGCTCGCAAACAGTCAGCACTGAAAGGGTGATGCTCTCAACAGCTGTAGTTGTAACTCACTGAATGCACAGCACGTTCACATATGCAGAACTGGGTATTTCCCGTGCCTTAGAATACAGAACCAAAGCAAGATAGATAATTAAAAAATGGCTTTTACAAAAGCATGTGTGCTAGTGCTGAATGAACCTCACTATTAGTATCAAATGCCTTTGATAAAGAAAAAAACAAAACTAAACTAAAAAGAGGGAGACTCAATTCCACTGAAATCAGAACAAGAATCCCACACCCAGCTGCAATGGGCCACGTACTTCGTTTTGAGAACCAACTCTACAAACCTGTTTTCCATAACAATACACAGACTAAGAGTATCCTAAACCAGCTATCTGCAGAAGGGTTACTGAAATCTGCACAGCCACACAGGAGAAAAAACAAGGGCCATCCAATGTAATGAAGGCTGTGATAACAGAGCCACGTGGCTTTGAGTTGCAGAAACAGTGAATGCTTCTTTACCCAGGCTGCAGCTGGCTGCATTATCCTCTCATAGAACTGTCAGCTCAGTGCAGTGCTCAGATTCAGCAGCAGCAAGAATGAGGCCATGAAGAGGAGGAGAGCAGCCGAGTCTGCAGCTGGGGGCCTGGGAGGAGCTCACTGTCCGTGCTCTCCCCATTTTCCAGAGCTGAAGATCTGGCTCCACGGCTTGATTTAGAAAAGGACTGGGTAATTTTTAGGACAGTTAGTCATAATTACAGCTCAGCCGTCTCATATAAGATCAAGAACTAATTATCATGCTTTAGTGAGCACACCAACTGCTTGCAAAGTCTTGGAAGGCTTTTGGAGTAATACTGCAGAACTGGTTATGAAAGTTGCCTCAGAAGGACAGTCCTCCACTGGAGCCAGGATATCAGCTTAGCAAACAGCCTGATCCCTGACAGCATCTCTTCTGCATTCAGTAATACTGCTCCTCTAAGCAGGTTTAGCTGACCAGATAGAAGTTACTTTACAAGGGCACCTAGTTTGGAACAGAGGAAAGATGCATTTCAAAGGCTTAGCCTTTGTGCTCAGGGCAGAGCAAGGCATTTCTTGGCCCAGACTTGGCAGTGATAAGACAATGCTAGACAAGCAGTGCAACTCTCATTTGCAGCGCATCAGCACCTGTAGCTATAGAAACTGGGTTTGATCTACCTCAACATGCCCACCTAAAGAGAAATTATGTCCCCGAATTTTTCAGTTGCTTTGTAAGTTACCTAATTCAGTGCCACATTTGTATTTTAGAAAATGAACTTTTGGCATGATTATTTTCAGCTGTGCAAGGAAAAACAAATGATGAATCAAAATTCCATTTCCTTTTTAAAGCTGTTTAGAGGAAGGCTAGACAAACAAATTCAAGGGAAATGTAAAAGCTACTGTGAATCTATGCAGCATATTCTCTCTTCACCACAAATGTCAATAGAAACAGCATTACGCCACTTTCTGTTCATGGATCTGATTGTTTTCTGCCCCAAAATATTTATCAGTCTGTACTGCTGCAACAGGCAGTTTCTAAGGTAGGTCTTGCATTGAATGAGAAATGTTCTGGTACCACAGCTGGGTCACAGTCATATTGTATTCTCTGCACACTGATTACATGCAGATGACATACATATATTTTTGCCACACTCCTCTTGAAGATATTAAAGCACAACCACATTCCTGAGGCTGCTCATACGTACCTCGCTCTCTTTCTCAGCAATTCCAGTTGTCTCCTTATCCCCTGCCCCGATACTCTCCTGTATAAAGAGGAAATATGGTCACCATCTTACTCATGCTGAGGGAATGACTGCAGAGAAACTGGCATTAATCAAGCTCAGTGGAAGAATGGCACGTATGGGATGCGATGAAATGAATGGTGGGAACTAAACGGGACAGCATACAGGGAGTGGAAAGATTCTTGCTGCTATATATCTGAAATAAAGGTGGCTATAAGATAAAAACAGAACAAAACAAGAACACAGCAAAAAACCACGAGAAATAAAGCCTGTTAATTACATAATGATCACCACACTAGAAGTGCTAATGTCAATTTTATGTACTTTTGCTATCAGTATTTCCATAGTAGCACCATACTGGATGAATGTTTTATTAAGCAACAGCCCAGAACATTGCTGACCTTACAGTTTTCCAGCTACCTCCAATTTCTCCCACCCAAGACTCAGAATGTTCCCATCATAACCTGCTGCTGCCCCTGTAACTCACCAGTTTGCAGGAAAACTTCCTGGAACACTTCTTCCACACGCGTTGGGCTGAAACACACGGCAGGGGATTGTTCAAAGAGGTGGGTCACAAAGCTCATCAGTGCTGCAGAATCACTTTCCTCCAGGTCCACACTCAGCTGTACATGCAGTGGGTGCCTGACATTTCAAACAGCAGACGTGTGTCAGTGGCTCTAAATGTGGCACCCATGAAGATGTCCAAGGAATCAATTGCTCTCAACAGTGATGCTCTCCACCCCAAACAATACTTCTCACAGCACAGATGGGATCTAACACAAGGTCCTTTACTACAGAAGCTGTAAAACTGCACAAGTTCCAGGTTTGGAAGAGGAAAAAACGTACAATTTCCTAAACTCTGTGGGACAGTTGTGCTCCTGCTGGCTTCCAATTCCACTGTAGCATTTTGGGATTCAGTCAGCAACATCCCTTCTGCTTGAGTTTAGATTCAGTTCTGGCTATTGCTCAGCCTGGATCAAGAGGTTCAGGTCCAGATTAGGTCAACAAACAGTCAAGATGGCTGTAGTTCATGTCTCATTTGGAACACTTGGAAGTGCTTTTCTCTTCTGCTCAGTCTTGGCTTCCTGCAGATTGCAGGATATTTCTAAAGATGCTTTTCAGAGGAAAAGTAAATCTAAGCCCCCTTATAGAAATCTCTTTCACTAATAAATGTTGAGGTTGCTCAGCAAACATACATATGTCAGATTTTTCAAAAGCCCTGTAAGGGTGAAGACAAGTCGTGCAGATCTGTGTGAGTGCAGGCAGAGCAGATCACCATCTTTAGCACTTGTGATCAGACCTCAGTGCTCAGCCTCCAGCTCACTGCCTCCACACACCTGCCACACCAAAACTCCTGCACGTTTCATCTGAAATGCTTGCATGTTATCTTGTTTAATAAAAGGATGCTGCGTTATATCCAAACTTCACTTCACTCATGTGTTTTCTAAGCTCATCTTCCTGCAGTCACCTCATAAGACCCAGACCTGTCCAGACGCCAGGGCAAGGCAGCTGCTGACAGCAGCGTTACCATGCAAACCCCTCACAGCTTTATCCTGCTAAAACTGCAGTGTGACATCACCTTTTCTATTATACATACAGGATTAATTCTTCTTTCAAGCTGCCAAACCATGCTGCGAAGACCTGATTTTTACATTAATTTTAAAACAGACTGTATAGGGTTTTAAAAAGAAAAAAAATCCCACAAGCTTCAACTGCAAAATATAATTATTTCTTACTCCAGCAAAGCATGCATGCTTGCTACAGCATGTCGCTTAATTTTTATTTATTTATTTTTTTAAACAGGAGAGGTAAACAAATATTTCCATTGCCTCATAAAAGCCATGCGTCTGATGGCAATGGCAAGTTGGTACAGAAACACTTTTCTGACTCGTACTATTAAAAAGTGCTGAATTTCTTAATAAGCTGTACTTAAAAGCCAATTTGCCTTCAGAAATGAGCACTGCTCTATGTCAGGAATGTGTTTGTCCCTACCCTTCTCCTATCAGTAACCTGGAAACTCTTTCCCATAAGAATTCCATCAACCAAGCTTACAGCTTGGGCCTCATTCAAAATTTGATGCATTCATACATATACTTTTAAATGAGGGCTCGTTTCAAGCATAACTGGAAGCAGATTTTTTGGGAAAGAGAAAGGTAAGGAGAGTTGCCCTTACTTCTTAAGGACTATTTTGTACTGGTAAAGTTAGCAGCACTGATCTTTTGATTAGTTAGGAGTCGGGATGGTAAGGATGACTGAGTTTTAGCAGGGAAGCACGGCAGTGCAATGTTTATTTTTATGCCACGCCAGGCGTAAACGTCTAGTAAATAGGATTACTGAAACAGTGCCTAAGTAATGCTGCAGTTCCATAAACAGAGTGCAATCTGCCTCTGCTGACTTAGAACAGAAGAACACTGTTCTACATCAGTTCTCCCCCATTTTTGAAAGAAATGTTTTACCTTTAAATGGCCTCATACATGGCTCTATCTGTACTTGGCTCCACGCTCAGCTTTCAGACACAGTTGACCACTCTTCTTTGCACTGCTCTCCCAGATCATACAGTCTGCAGTTTGGGTGCCACGAGTTGTACCTACAGTGGGATTCAGCCATCATTAGACATCTCTAAGCTGAAGGCTCTTTCTTGGCCTCTGTCACTGCTCAGTGTCTGAGAGAGCTTCCAGCTGGCAGTTTCATATGTGACCACACAAAGCTTTGAAAATCACTGTGTTTAGCTGAGTGTCTGACTGATGGAATGAGAGAATATTAAAGGCCAGGCAAGCATCAGACCCAAAGCACAAAAAGGCTCTTTCCGAACCAAGGAGCATCTGGAAGTCAAAATAGCTGATCTCTGAGTAGTGCTGTGAACTCTGTGTGCAGCATTTCACAGATAGGACAACAAAATAACAAGACTTGCTACGATTTCTCTTTGTCCTGTACATTTGTCATCTTTGCCTGACTTTGAAAAATTGATGTGGTGAGAGGGATATTATTATTTGAAACTGAAATCAATCAGTGGTTAATAAACTATATATTTTAGACTGTATCCTTTGGATTTTACACACTACGGAAAGAAGAAACAAAACAGTTTCTGTGGGCAAAAGTCCACGCAAGAAGGACTTCTTACCATTCGCTTCAGCTCTTCTGCAGCACGTGGTGATTCTGTCCCTGTAACTGTGAAAAATTTTGTTCCCTGCAACCAAAATAAGAATTCAAAGGTCGCCAGCACCTAACAGAAATTTATTTGTTCTGTGGCACCGATGGATCACAACAAGGACATGTAGTAAGATCCCATGCAGCAATTAAGATGAGCTCTGGGAATGAAGTGTTTGGCAATGCACTTCAGGCTGATTATGAAACTGTAAGTAACAGAACCCAAAACTCCTGAGCAGGGAATTGTACCCTGTTCTCTGCACTACCCCTCCTAGTTTAAATGAGAGCCCTACCAGAAAATTTACTCAAAGCTCTTGCAACAACTAATGACTGCCATACATTCTACCAATTAACGTGGCTTGGCAGTAAATTCATCACAGAGAAATTGTGCTGATGAGGGGCTGTCACCGCAAACTTGCAATTACTAAAATCAATAAAAGATTCCTATCAGAAAGATATTATTAATATTTTATCACTCCACTTTTAAATAACTCATCACTCAAAGTGAATGAACGCTGAGCTGCTACTGAGAAATGACATGCTTTCATATTCTGCATCTCAGTGAAATGTCCTCAGCTTTGATCACGGTTGCTATTAATCCTGATGTTCAAGACTCTCCTTCGCAAGTCCTGGAAAGCAATTCCTGGAATCATTGCCCCTCAGAGCCAAATGAATAATTCTACTTCTGAATTTTTAAGACATCAACACGGAGCTCATTTTCCTAGACATCTCTTCCAAATTGGTAAAGACAACTTTGCATTCTAAAGGTAACAGAAAATGAAAATAAATCCAGTCAGGACTGTCTGACTTCTATTTAATACCTATGACATCCTCCTGGATTGCCACTCACTTGCCCCTCTCTCACTGTCTTCCTCTCCAACAGCTCTGCAGCCATTTGGAGCATGAAAGAACACGGACTGAGAATGCCTCAGTGATGGTGAGGCAGCAAAACAGGTCACAGGACAGGGCCAGTGAACGGATGAGTGGTGCTGCACCCCAGCCTGCCATCTAATTAGCACTCAGGTAATGAAGGTTTTGGAGCTTTGTCTTCTACCGTTACGATGCTGCTCTCACAGGTAGGAATCCAGAGCAAATAGGAAGGATTAGACAGGGATCATCCTCCCTCTCTCTCAAAGTTCTCCAGAACAGCACGCAGAAAACTGTCCCCATTTCCATCTACAACAAATTCTTTTTACCCTGCTAGGAAGATAGGAGCAAGGGAGAGATGATAACCAGGCACGTGCTGCAACTAAAGCTCAGCCTGCCTTTTCATTTCATGCACATTTGATACCAGTTTTTAATCCAGTGACGCAGTTGCAACTATCCAGGCAAAATCATCTCTCTGTCCTTGAGAAGTCCTTTAAACTACAGCTGTACTCCAGAGCCTTCTGCTGCACACAGTTTGCGTGGTATCATGAGTGGCTTCTGCAGTGGTCCAACACCACCAGCACACAACCAACCTGACACTGGTTGAGTAGAGCTTCAGACTATTTCCAAGCCACTCTTCACTTCTGTTTGTACGCTTTCCTAACGCTGTTCCCCTATGTTAATAAATGTCACAATCAGGCTTGCAGTGCCTGAGCCATTGCCCCCAGTAGGAATGTGAAACACAATCAGCTCCACAGAAAGATCCATGCAAGGCTAGAGTATCTGCATACCTGAAAACCTTTTGTTGATGCTCTGCACTGACCTCTGACTGCCTGTAAGACCATGCAGGTGAACTTCCAGCTAAAATGCCAGTCTTAAAAGGAATGACATTTTGGGACCAACAGGAGCAAACGTTGCTGGAGAGGCATGCTGTGACACAGCTGGACGCTGACAAAACCAGCCATGATGAGGAACGGAGGGGATGGCTGAAATACAGCAGGCACACTCACTGTGATGAGAGATGGCCCAGATGAGGCTGGGAGATGGGGGACAGATCACTCAGCGCAGCCTGCTCTGTTGGCTCATCTGGCTCAGCAGGGATGGCCTCCTTTCCCACAGCAGCAGCAGCAGGGGTTTCATCCACCTTGACTTCCCCAGGTGGAGCTTCTTCAGCCTCAGTCTTTTCTTTTACGGATTTCTAAGTAAACAGTGGAAAATTTGTTGAGGAGCACATGATGGTGGGGAAGGAAGAAGGGAATGGGAGCTCTGCCTGGCACTGCAGTGCTGCTTCACTCCTAGCAGACTCAGTGCCAATGGCTTTGCCAGGAAGAGGACAGCCTTACATTACTAATGATCATCTACGGAGCATCTTCATTCTCAGCATCCTGCACAGAAACTGAGTCAGTCCTACATCCCTCCCTTGCCAGGAAAGAGAGTGCTAGCTTCCTGAGCTATTGAAAGCAGCAGCAGAAATGGGGGAGAAGTACTCAGTTTGCTCAGAAATGCTCTAGAAAGTGAGGGCAAAGTGAGGAGTGTCCCAAAGTATGATTTCAAACAGGATTTTTTTTTTAAAATTATCCCCTATCCCCCTAATCCCACTGGTTCTCAGACAAAAAGATCCCTTCTCTGTTGAAAGCAAGAAACATGCTGCAGACATGTTTTCACATAGGCAAGTACTAACTGCATGAATTCTGACACTGAACATCGTAGAATGGCTTGAATTAGAAGGGACCTAAAGACCATTCAGTTCCAATCCCCCTGCTACAGGCCACCCATTCGATCAGGATGATCAGGACCAGAGGCACCCAGAGCTTCTCCGGGCAGCCTGTTCCAGTACCTCACCACCTTCTGAGTAAAAAAAAGTCATCCCTAGTTTCTTTTAATGCTTATTGCATCCTGAGACCTCAATCACCTACAAAGCTTCCGTTTATGGGCCATGCTTCTTCTGCAATTCTTACCCTCTAAAATTCTGGCCTATCCTTATTCTTTAGGAAGCGTATCTGGTAAACATCACCAGTCCTGCAAGATGTTTGGTCCTGCAGCAAAACAGCTCCCAGCAAAAGTGCTGTTTCTGCTGGGGACAAAGCCTTGCAAACACACACAGCTAAAGGAGGGAGCTGCAAGCTGTGCTCAGCATATTCCAGCTATAAAGATGGCTGACTCAGCCAGATTAAATAACCCCAGTAGATCAATTTGCCATGAACACATTGCTCAGCATAATATGAACCTCAAAAGCTATCCAGCTGCTTTGCTGTTGATAAGATGCAGCTGCTCAGAAGGCCTTCTGTCATGAAGAGACATCTCTGAAATTCTTCAAAATACGAAAATCTGCTCCCTGACGTTTTTCAGAAAACAACAACAAAACAAAACCAAACAGAAAAAACCACCACCACAACAAAACATGTCCTTTCAATTCCTTCCTCATCTATTCCTTTAGCAGGCTTATTTTTAATGAGGTATAGAGAAATCTGCCTAAGCAACACCTTCAGGATTTGGCAAAGAAGAAAGAAACATTCATTCTATTACACCACACTGTGCAGAAGTCTGTCCTGTGTGATAATACCAGATCCAAGGAGTTTCACAAAGAAAAAACAAGACTGTAATGAGAAACAAAAGGCAGATTTGTCCCAGGTCAGATGGCTAATGAGTTTCCTGGGCCTTAATACTGGAAGGAACTTTCAGGCTTACAATCAGAGGTAATGTGTTCCAATGCAGATGGCACTGATGTGCTCTCAGTCACTTGTGCACAAGCAGTCTTTAGGCTACTTGCCACCTGAACTACACACACAAATACTCAGAATGCTCTCACGGTGCTCAGTGACCAAAGGCACATCAACAGACAGAATCACTCTTCTGCTCTCAGTAACGGCAGCGTTCACCCAGCAATGCTGCCACTCCATATCCTTCATTCAGGCTAACTGGAGGCAGCAAGAGGAACCCAGAAACCACCAAAGTATGATCGCTTTCAACAATATTCCCCCCCTTAAAAGATGCTACATACTAAAATGAGGAAGACAGATAAAGCTGCAGTAATATTAGAGGTATGAGTACCGACAGCACACCTGAGCACTTCCTTGCTGTACATTGGACCAAAGCACTCATTCTTGCTTTTCTTACATGCAATAAATAAGTGAACTGACTGTACCTTCAAAAATTAAAAGTATCTAGGCATCCTGCTTTTCTTTTTGTCATTTATAAATGACAAAAAAAATGAGGTCAGGGAGGGCTGGAACCAGGCTCCACCCCTTTGCCAGACAAGTGAATTGCTCCCACCTGCTCTCCACAGCAGAACAAGGTCTAATGGAGATAAAAGACCAGTTGGCCCAGGGGGGTCCTGCCAGGACCTCAATAGGCCCGTTGGCTGGGGGGGGGGGTGATCCCCAACTCTGTTCCTTTGTGTGGTTTCCTGCCTGTAAGAAGGCTTGAAAACAAACCTGCCTGTCGTAAGGCACAACAATGATTTGCAGAGCACTTCAGATAAATATAAGAGCAAGGCCACCCAGGGCTCCTCATTGCTTCTGGGAAGAAAAGCACATTCAGGATATGAGAACCCAGATGTTGTGAGCTTGGACAGCAGAGCATGCCAAAGAAATTGCATTTAACACCAGATACATCATGGAGCTGAGACAGCACAGGTCTGCAGCAAGCCCACCACCAAGGTCTGCAGCACACTTGAATCTCACTGCCATTTTAAACAAAAGGTATCGCGTGCCAATCTCCTGCTCACCACCCCCACTTAGCACACAGCTAAACCAATGACCTCATTTTGTCATTTATGCATTGTTTTGTACGTTTCACTATTAAACGTTCTGCGTTCCCTTTGCTACACCTCTGCCTGCAGTCGTTCATGCAGCACCAAAGCCCCCCAGGCCCCCGTGCCCATCTCTGGGGATGCTGGGGTGGCTGCAGGCTGCCAAGAGCTGCCGCTCCTCCAGCTCCTCCAGGCTGAACATCTCCATCGGGGGCACCGACTTTGCACAAGGAGAGTTGAGGCAACGCCGAGAGGCAATGGGAGCTGACTGGGGAACGGCAATGAGCACCAGGTTCTCCAACATCTCACCCAAGGAATTCAATAGGCCCTTTACTCCAATGGAGGCAGACTCTCTCCTTGCGGATGACCTTCCCCCCCCACCTCCCCAGGCTGTCTCCGTCTCCCCCCTGGGCGCTGTGTTCCACACATTCCCAGCCTGATGCTGGCAGTTTAAGTCCTTAGACACGGGCAAAGCACGGTTTTGGATGGTGACGACTGGCAATTGCTTGCACAGGATATCCTGAGTGGGAGGGGAAACCATCCGTGGGGTGAGAAGGCAATGCAGGGATGGCAAATCCCTACTGGGATGGGCAGACCCTTGGGAAGGAAGGGCACTGGGCTGCAAAAAGCCCATCCATACAGTCACTGATCCTGGGGATGGGAAACGACGGGGATGGGAAGGATGTCTGGGTACGAAAAGGCAAAGCACGGCAAGCCGGGGGGAAAGGGGCTGAGCCCAACGGTCACAGAGCCCCCGTGGGGGGAGGGGCTCCCCCAACTGCCACTCTCCAGCTGTCATGGCAGGTAAGGCAGCAGCTCCCCCTGCTCTGACGCTCCAGCTGACCCCAGCGCCCCACATCTCACCCCTGTGAGCCCACATCTCAGCCCAGAGCTGCAGAAAACACCCCTGTGACCCAGATCACACCCCAGCACCCAGATCCCACTCCTGTGACCCGGATCCCATCCCAATGCCCCGGGTCTCAGCCCAGCGCCCCGTCTGGCATTTCCCCACAGAGAGATTCCCTCGAGCGCTGACGGTGCCTCTGACACCCGACGCCACTTTCTTTGACGCGACTGTGCCGCCACCGGACCCCGCCTGGATGCAGCCCACCGTCCGCGGACCGATGCCGGTACCCCCCCAACCCTTCCCTGTCCCCACTGCCACCCACCTGGCACCTCAGGCCTCTGTCTGGCCCGGGCTACCAGGTGCCTGGGGACAGGCAGCGCAGCTCCCACCCGGGGGGCCGACCCCAGTCCTGGCTCAGCTGCCACCTGTGGGCCTGACCTCAACTGCAGGGCTGCACTCACCGGTGCTGCTGCTCCTACCTGGGGGGCTGCACCCAGCTACGGCTCCCCCCCCCGCCCCTGCTCCCTGCTCAGGACGTCCCCTGTCTGCAGGGACGCTGCCAGCCCAGCGGCCGATGGGGCTGTGGCCTGGGGCCGTGCCCCTCCACGCGGAGCCCCCGCAGCCCACAGGCACCTACCTGCCACAGGCCCCCGGGCGCCCCGGCCCCTCCCCAGCTCTTTTGCAGGTACCCTCCCTGCAGGAGCAGGTGCTCCCCGGGCCCTGCACCCTGCCCGCCACCTGGGAGCCACCGATGGAGACCTTCCAAGATGCCGTGCTGCTCTCGGAGGAACAGGGGCACCCAGCGCCCACCGACGTGTGCCCCCACCCTGCCACGGCTCCGCTCACCTGCAGCACTGCCTCGCTGCAATCAGGCCGTGAGTTCAGGGGCTGCAGGGCAGGCGGCAGGCTGTCTACTCCACGGGGCTGTGGGAAAGCTGGCACCGCCCCACTGGGGATGCTCTTGCTTTTCCAGCAGCCACAACGAGCGCAGACACCCCGGAGGAAATCGCCGAGGACATCGCTGAGCTCCTGACGTGGATCAACCAGGGTGAGTCTGGGGGCAGCAGAGCTGGCGGGGGGGTGCTCGCACCCAGTGGGCGCGGGAAAGCCGGCAGTGCCCCACGGGGGATTTTCTTGCTTCTTCAGAAGTGACAGCCAACCCAGGCATCCTGCACGACACCGCAGACATGGACGATCTGCTCACGTGGATCAACAGCGGTGAGTTTGGGAGCAGCACAGCTGCTGGGGGCTGTCTGCTCTGAGTGGCTGGGGGAAAGCTGGCATTGCCCCACTGGGCATTTCTTCCATTGCCCAGAAGACAGACCCAGCACCAACAGTCTTGCCGGCCATGTGGAAATCGACCGTTTGCTCACCTGGCTTGATGGTGAGTTTGTGGTCTGCACAGATGACCGGTGGGTGTCTGCACCAAGCGGGGGTGGGAAGGCTGCCATCATCGTTCCGGGGGATGTTCTGCTATTCCAGAAGCTGTGAGTGCTCTGGACAGCTGCAAAAGGGAAGAGCTGACGCAGCGCACCACTGCCACAGAACCACCGAGCGCACGTGCCTCCAGCAGCCTCAACTCCTCTTCCATCACAGAGCTGCCTCACTCCCCCAGGGCCAGCCGGGAGCTCAGCAGCGACACAGATGCTGAACCTGGGCTCCTCAACAACCCACTTGGGCACCAGGCAGCATCCCCTCAGCTGCCCGTGCCAAGCGCCCTGGCTGCTCCCACACCGCCATCGCCAAACCATGCACACCTGATGGAAGAGGTGCTGCGAAGGCAGCCCCGGGTGATTCTCACCCGCCTGGCACTGCCCAGCCCACTGCCTTCCCCCACACCTCCATCGCCCAGCACTGCACACCCGATGGGAGAGGTGCAGCAGAGGCAGCCCCGGGTGGTTCTCCCCCGACTGGCACTGCCACGCGGCTGCATCTCCTGCCGGCTGGCAGACCAGCACCACGGGGACAGCACCGAGCCAGCCAAGCGCCCCGTGCCTCCTCTGCTGCGCACTGGGCGGCTCGTGGAAGAGGCGCCGCACAAACAGCCCCACGTGCTGCTCAGGCACCTCGCACTGCCAGCCGGATGCATCTCCTGCCGGCTGGCAGACCAGCACCACGGGGACAGCACCGCGCCGCCCACCAGCCCAACGCCCGCCTGCTCCACCACCAGAGGCCAGAGCACCGCGCACAGGCAGCACGCTGGCAGCATCCCAGCCACAGACAGGAAGCTGCCACGCTGCCACCGTGCGCCACGCCACAAACGCCGGCGCTAGGCCAAGCTGCCGCTGTCAGCACGGCAGCCAGCACGAGGACTCGGGACGCTTTCTGGGCACAGTGCAAACCAGCAACAACCCTGCCAGCAGCAGCAGCAACACCAACAAACCAAGGAAAAGAATGAACCGCCAGGGCAAAGCACAGATGCCCACCCAGTCTGGAGCAGGCCAGAATCTTAGCATCCGTGCCTGGGAGGAGGAAAGGGTAGCTACTGGGTGTGCTGCTTCCTCCAGCACAGATGCAATTGCAGGGTCGCCAGCCCAGAAGGAGCCTGAGGCTGCCAGTCAGAGCAAAGCATCTCTCTGGAGGAAGCCAAAGCACTTGCAGTCATGCCAAGGAGGAGGGAAGGGTAGCTACCGGGCACGGATCTCGCCTGCCACCAGAGGGGGAAGGAATTTTGTGGGGTGGCAATTCTGGGTCAGAAATTGAACTCTGATAATATTGTACTCCAAAATTGCTGGAATTGGGAGGAAGGAATTGCTGGTGTGGGATTTTAGGGAGGCTGGGAAGTTTTTTGGAGGGGGAAGAAAATATTGGTGGGAGGGAGCAGGGGGGGCTGTTAGGGGCCCCTGTTGTTAGGGGTGGGAAATGGTCGGGAATATTGTCATTTATGCACTGTTTTGTACATTCCACTATTAAATGTTCTGCGTTCCCTTTGCTACACCTCTGCCTGCAGTCGTTCATGCAGCACCAAAGCCCCCCCAGGTCCCCGTGCCCATCTCTGGGGATGCTGGGGTGGCTGCAGGCAGCCAAGAGCTGCCGCTCCTCCAGCTCCTCCAGGCTGAACATCTCCATCGGGGGCACCGACTTTGCACAAGGAGAGTCGAGGCAACGCCAAGAGGCAACGGGAGCTGACTGGGGAACTGCAAAGAGCACCAGGGGGCGTGGAGAGCTTTGCTCAGCACTTGTGGGGTTGGGGGGCTCAAACGGTACCCAGGTGGCACATTTTCACCTCACTGACTTCCTGTTCTCCAACATCTCACCCAAGGCATTCAACAGGCCCTTTTTTCCAATGGGGGCAGACTTTCTCCTTGCGGCTGACCTTCCCCCCCACCTCCCCAGGCTGCCCATCTCCCCCCTGGGCGCTGTGTTCCCCGCATTCCCACCCTGAAGCTGTCGCTCAGTGACACCTTTGTCACCCACACACTCTCCGTGGGTCCTGAGGAGGGCTGGGTGGTGTCCCGTGAAAGCAACCCCAGGGACAGCTCTGCTCCCAAGCCCTGGAAGTCACAGCTCCTGGAAAAACACCTTCAATGCTGCTTCATCTCATCACCTTGCCACTCCACCGGGGCGCTGGGTGGAAGCCAGCTGCTTCCCCTGCTGTCTCCACACTGGGCTCGCCTCTCTCCCTGCTCCTCACCCAACATCCAGGACTGCTTTTTACCATGCCCTTGCTCAAGAGCACACAAGCTACGCAAGCACACCGCTCGCCCTAGGAAAAACATGGCTCCTAGGCACCTGCACTGCAAACCGATAAACAGGCGTTCAAGTCTCACAGGAATCACAAAAACTTAAAACATACCCCAGGCCCCTGTTTAGCAGTAATGCTTTGCTGAATTTGGGCCCACACTATGATTCCAACTCGTCACCTTCCTGCCTTCCAACTGCCTGCACTGTGCTCTGAAGCCACGATCCAATGCCTTAATGCCCTTATGTAACAGCATCCACTTCATCAAACACAGAGGAAGGAACGTCTCAGGAATGTACATCACACACCAGCCAGGCTGCTAAGGACCGGCAACTCTTCTGGGACAGCTTCATCAAACCTTTCTGGATCAGCCTTGCTATCACACACAACTCGTCCCATTCCTGCTTTGAGGGCTCAGAGCCTGAACTCCACTAAAAGGCCACCTGTCATCACAAAATCAGGCACACCTGATACAACCACACCACTAAGGCTGCTCTGCTCAACTCCACTGGTTCCCAGTGCTCGCTTAAAAAATAAAATCCACCCAGAGCATCAAACACCAACACGGTTCAGTGGCACAGCCCAGCACAGAGCTGCGATCCCAAAGCCATTATAAGGTTTTATAACAGTGCTGTGGGGGACATTCAACTGCTTCAAGCTCAAACATGATGCAAGTGGTTGATTAATCCGTACATCTCAGTGACCTCCAAACCTGATGTCTTGGAAAAAATGAACAGAACAGACCATCTCAAAGAGCAGATATTCAATCTACACAACTTAATCCAGCAGGCAGTCCTGTGGACAAATTCTGTGCTGGCAGCAGAGTCTTTTTACGACCATTGGGAACATTCCCAGTAACAGAGCTACCACAACTTGGGCACTAAATACACAGACCCACCTGGGACAACAGCAAGTAAAGAAGCAACTTACCCTCCTCCCCTTATCCAACTTCACTCTCACATTTACAAGTGAAACTGCAACGTTAACTGCCATGAAAACATGAGGGGATAAAAAGTCATCTGGTATTTTCCAGGTAAGCCACCAAGATCACAGAAACCCAAGTTGTAAGCGTCCACAAGGATCACCAAGTCCAACCTGATGCTCCAGGAAGGACAACCCAAACGCAGATGGTCTTTCAGCTGCAGCAGCTCAGGACCAGGCCCACAGCCCTGGGGAGCCTGGCCACAACCACTGGTACCAGATGCAGCAAGCAAAGAGCAGGCAGGTAGGCACAGCAAGCAGCAAAGACCAACCTGAGAGGGGGCCTGCTTACAGAAATCAACCCGGGGCCTGCCTACACAAAGCACACACCTTGCACTCCAGTAAAGCTCCACCATTTGGACAGCCAAAGCACAAACTGCCATTTCACTTCTCATGGCTCTTCCCTGAACTCCCAAACAAACAGTTACTTCACGTCCCCTATCGCACTGCAACTGCTCATAATCAATCATCAAGATCATATCTTTCACCAACCACATAAGCAGCTCACTTCTGCTTGGTGGCACTCACACTCCATTCCCACTGCATCCCTTCATGGGAGGAAAATCACAGCCGGCTTTCTGACAGCCTCCTGCGTGATTCCCCCAAAAGCACCCAGCACTTCTTCGGAAGAGGGAAAGAAAGGAAGGTTCATGGAAACAGGCACACAAGGATTGCAAGAGATGCACTGCTCCAGATCACAGACAGGACCACCAAAGCGCCAAAACACAGTTTATCACTAAAGGAAACATTTCAGAGCGTAGTCACAATTTCCGCACAAGCTGTCATGATTCAGCATGTGCAGTTTTCTGATCGTTCAGTAGCAGAAGGCAGATGCTCGCACACATCAATCAGCAAGCACTTGGATGAGCCAGCCCTCCGGTTTTCACAAGGACACACATGGTTACTGCCGGCTCTGACAGCTTACCAGGAGAGGCTGCAGTTCATCAACGTGGACCTCATTCCTCCTATCAGCAGCTACTCCTGAACTGACCTTCATTCATACAGTGACACCACCAACTTCCAGCACCAGCTCACCTGCAAAACACAGAAAAGAAAGTGGGACAACAGCCAAAACAGACAAAATATGTTTTAACATTCACTAACAAAAAAAGCAACGACAATACAGATGGGCAGCTGCAGCAACACTGCAGTATGTAAAGAAACAGAAACCTGGCTTGGAGGCGACAGGCCCCCCCCCTTTGGAACAGAGCTGACAGCACCCCCCCTCACCCCCCTCTTGGCCCAGAGCCGACAGCTCCACCCCCTTCGCACCCCTCCCCCCCCCCCCCTTGGGCCCAGAATGGCCCAGAGCCGACAGCCCATCCCCCTCTTAGGCCCAGAGCAGACAGCAACCCCCCCCCCCCCACCCCCTCCTTTGGAACAGAGCCGACAGCACACCCCTCCCCCCCATCTTGGCCCAGAGCAGCCCAGAGCCGACGGCTCCCCCCCTCCACCTCACCCCCCCCCCCCCAACCCGTTTGGCCCAGAATGGCCCAGAGCTGACAGTTTCCCCTACCTCCCACTCGGCCCCCCCCCCCGGACCTCCTCCCCCCCCCTTCGGCCCAGAGCCAACAGCTCCACCCACTCCACCCCTCCACCTCGGCCCCCTCATCGAGCACCCCCCCCCCCCCCCCCCCCCCCTTTGGCCCACAGCCGACGGCCCACCCCCCCCCGCCCGTGTGTGACAGAAGGCACAACACAAAAAGCAAATTAGAAAGAAAGCCATCACACACGTAGCAGCAGAAGCACCAGAGCAACAGCAATACATTACAGAGGCACACAAAGCACTGCTCACCATCTCCAAGGATTCACCCACACAACAAACTCCACAGCACAGAACCTTCCAGAAACAAACCCTTCCCCCTGGCCACTCAGCCCCTAAAGGAGCTCCAGGAGGGGCAGCCAGGCTCCGCCCCTTCCAGCCACGGAGCTCCATTGCCTTCAGCTGTGCTCCCAGGGCTCACCGGCTCCTTTCCTCAGCTGCTCCCTCGGTGCTTCAGGCTGGGATTCAACACTTCTTCGACAGCAGAGCAAAGGAAAAAATCGCAAAGCAAAGCTAGAGACAAAATCCAAACAACAAAGAAAGCTTGCAGGATGCTAGGAAATAACAGAAAAGCACAGGCAGAAGGCAGAAGGCAGGGTTATGTCTGCGTGTCTGTCTGCAGGAAACAGCTGCAGATGTTCAGTGCTGCTCCATGCACCCATCGCAGACAGCTGCACACAACAGGGCTCCAGCAGCACTCACAGCTCCTGTCAGCTGCACTATTAAAGCCATCTGACAAACTTCCAATTCCGTGTTGCAAGTGCTTTAAAGAGAGAAGCACTGAAGCTGGCAAACGCACGATGGCTCCAGATAACAAACACCAAGTCCAATGGCACTTCAGGCAATCAGCATCCTTACATTACGCCACCTCTTTTAGTTTACCCAGAGAGGCTTCTAGCTCCTTTACAGCTTCTTCTCATTTTTGGGGTTGGAAAAACCAAGGGAAAAATGTTGAAATGGTGCCCAAACCCGTTCAATTTTCACTTCATCCCGACTTTGCCCTGCAGGTGGGGTTTTGTTTTCCTTTTTGGTGTTGCACAACAGGTGACTGAAGTGACTGATGCAGCTTTGAAGTTGAATCGTTCCATCAAACATGCTGCTTTTCTTGGAAATCTCTCCCTGAAATCCATTAATTTGTACCTACACTGTAGGAGGGATTTTACGAGCCCAAGCCGACTCGAGGTTTGGATTCAGCTGTCACTCCTTTCTCCCCCTGAGGAGCACAAGATCTGCGCCTCGCTGCCAGTGTCAGAACAGACCTGGGGCACAGGGAAAGGAGCCAGAGAGTGTTTCCTCTGCTGCACGTTGTTTGAATCATGCTGTTTTTCATGGGAGATGTGCCAGAATGTCTCTGATGGACTATTTGCTGTGCCTTTCTACCACCAGAAATGCTACTCATGTGATAGTAGTTCAGAAAGACTGTGCTGTGGATTTGTCTCCTGGACTCACGTGAGAAGGATGGCTGTGGTCTTGGGGCAGGAGCTGTTAGAAGCTTTTGAGAGTGGCCTACGTGTGTTAGGAGTGATTGTGGTACCACTGCTCGGTCAGTTGGAGTGCATGAAACAAGTCTGAAGTCTTCTTGTAATGGAGCAATGGGAAAGGAGTCTATGCATTGGAGAGCTGACTTTCAGTCTGCGGGCATTTTCGGGGAGCTGGGGCGAGGGGTGAGGCAAGGAAAGCTGTGGTAGGAGGATGAGGTGTGGGAATAGGAACATCTTCCATTGAGAGCAACTCCTGCTGTTTGCTTTTTGACTTGGAATGCATGCTTTTTTAAATCGAGAACAAACTCTTTGTGCAGCTTGTGAATGAATTCATTCACTCCTGTTACTGTTTGGCGTTCTTCTCCACACGGAGCTGCAATTGAAATGGACGCCTCTGGTCTGGTTGCCAGCCCCCTCCTGCATGCTCAGATCAGCCAAGTTTGCAAGGCCCGGCTCTTGGTGAGTTGTGCCCAAGGTCAGAGGTGGCTCTTCTCAGCTTTGAGCTGTGTTTTCCAGTTGCATGCTGTGCTATTCCTGTTGTGTTGAGCTCTTGAGCTGCAGCCCTAACTGGGGATCCAAGTAGACTGACACAGAAGGAATGGTTGAGATCTATGTGAGCTTGGATTGGAAATGCGGTGCCAAGGGCTGCACAAATGTGAGACAGTTGTGAGCGTAAGGAAAGGCATCTGCTGGGTGAGGGCTTTGCAGGGTGAGCGTCACCCTGCTGAAGAGCAGGCAGCTGTTGTCCTAGCAGGCAGCCACATCCATGGGGATTGGAAGCTTCCTCTGCCTTCCAGCTCTTGGCTGCTGCTCTGAGAGTGCAGGTTCTTGCCCGGAGAGAAGCAGCAGCAGAAAGGATCCCATGCGTGGCCTCTGAGCCCTTTCAGACCAACCAGCTGGATTAGCGTGGCTGGGACCTTGGTTTGGAGTTCACCCAGCAGGCTTTGCCCAAAGCAGAATGAGCTGTGGGCACAGCGTCCAGCAGTGGAAGTGACCGACAGCTGGAGACAGCAGCAGCCTGAGCGGCGCTCTTGGGGGAAATCCTCACTGAGCAAAGGCCCAGAAGAAGAGAGAAGCTTGTCCCTGCCTTCACATAGTCAGGTTTTCCTTTCTGATCTGTTACCCCTCAGGCGCTGCCTACAGCTGTGTGATGTGCTCTGCAGGAAGTGCCGATGGTTCGCATTCAACCTTGTCTTTCACCTTGTTTTGAAGCTTAGAGGCACCCTTAATTTCTGCAGCCCTGAGCTTTGTGCCATGAGAGCTCTCCAGCTTCTACCCGTGATGTGAGACTGTATTGTGTCTACTCTGTCAGGCTCTTCTTCTCTTTTCTCTTTTAAGGTCCCTCTTTTAGTACCTCTTTTAAGGTAGGAAAATTCCTGTTTGGGCCAGGAGAAGAAGAAATGCAGCAATCTTCCCTGCACTGTTCACTTTGTCTGAGTTGCCAAGTGCTCCTCGTTTTTCTTGTACCCTGCAATTCCAAGTCCATATTTTCCCCAAAGCAAAAGAATTCAGAGGGAACCACCTACAGTTCAGTAAGCGATTTCAGTGTTTATTTCTGACTGTGGCAATTCCTTCCGTTCAGAAGTCACACTTAATTGACGGTGCCTGCTTTAATTCTGACCAAGCTTGCAGTGGCAGCTGGCTTCCCAAGGCTGCAGTACGTGGTGGTGGCACAGCCTCGGGCGTCTGCATTTGTGCCAATGCCACATTTCCTTTCTCTGTCTCGCAGGTCAGCTGGCGCTAGAAGTGGACGGCATCCAGTGTGAATGAAGGGCAGTGCAGGAGCAGCTGCTGCTGGGAGGAAGGAAGTGCAGGCTGATGGACGCTGACGCATCTCCCGGCACGGCACCAGAGGAGGCAGCGGTGATGCTGGGGGGCAGCTGCAGAAGAACACGAGGAGCTCCTCAGCAGGAAGCCACAAACCTGCAGAAAGCTGCAGCGGACTCAGAGCACGCGGGGATGCCCAGGAGGAAATGCAGGCCCAGCGTTTGAGCAGCGCCTGGCCACGGAGTGCTGCGGCCCAAGAACCAAGCTGTTGTGCCTTTGCCCAGATGGCTTTCCAAGGTGGACTCGTCTGTCCTCACAAAAACCAGAGGGCTGACTCATTCAAATGCTTGCTGATTGCTTGGAAGCCCAAATCCTTCTGGCCTCCAATCTGGGGGAGCCTGGGGGCAACATCTCCTGGGTCTGATCATGCAGTGCGTGAGCGAGAGGATGACCCAGGCTGGTTACACAAAAGTCATCTTAATTTCTCTGTTTTGTTCCTTCAGATAACCCCATTGGGCGGCCCTCATGTTTTCTTACAATTGGGTACCAGCCCTGGTGGCTTTGGGCCAGAGCCCAAAAGGCTGCATGCAGCCCAGGGGCTCACAGCCACAGCCTCAGTCAGAGAGGCTGGCACACGCCCTGGGCCTAAAGATGCTGCCAGAGAAGCCGGGAGTGGCCCTGGGGCCTAAACACACAGCCAGAGAGACTGGCACCGGCCAAGGGACCTGAAGGCACAGCCTGAGCGGCCAGCACCGACCCTGGGTTGAGGCACAGCCAGAGAGGCTGCACTGGCCCTGGGCCTAAACTTGGAGCCACAGCACGAGAAGCCGGCACCAGCTTCAGGCCTGAAGCCACAGCCTGAGAGCCGGCCCTGAAGTCTGAATCTCCAGCCAGAGAGCCAGCACCAGCCCTGGGCCATAATGCCGCGGTTACAGCCACAGGGGCAGCGCCAGAGCCAGGGCTGACAGCCACACCTACAGCCGGGTGGGCTGGCACCAGCCGTGGAGCCTAAAGCCAGTCCTGAAAGGCCAGCACCAGGCCTAGGCCTGAGGCACAGCCCGAGAGGCCGGCACCGGCCTGGGGCCCGAAGCCAGAGGCAGCGGCTGGCACCGGCCCTGGGCACAGCTGTGCCTTCCTGTTGCTTTCTGCTGATTCCTACAGGGCTCCACTGACCGCTCTGAGGCCGTGCTGCTCCTTACTGGTTTTCACTTGGCCATGCTGCACTTTGCTGCTCCGTACTGCTGGGCACTCCTCCCAGCTCCTACTTGTTCCTCTGGGACCCCGCTGACCACTACGAGGCCATACTGCGTTTTTACTGGGCTGCCCAAGGTCATCTTCACTTCTCTGTTGCTTTACTTCAATTAACCCCCATTCAATGAACCCCATTCACCCCATTGGTCAGTCTCATGTTTCCTACAATTTGGATCTGGGAGGTGATCACTCCTTTGCCTATGATGCAAGCACAGCGGTGATGCAGGCACTTGCTGAGGTCACAGTGGTTGCCATGATGGGGGCGTTTGTGCCCCAGCTGGAGCAGAGCTGGTGCTCTAGTGAGCGTGGTGCACACCGAGACTGAGCTCTGTGCTTTTCGAGAGAGAGATCCTCCTTTAGAGCCCACTGGGAGCAGCGCTGCGGCGTGTGCGTCAGCTGGGCACCGCTCCGGCTGAGCAGGCTGACCAGGTGAGCTGGGGTTGGCGCTGGCTGGGTGCTGGGAGGTATCAGCAGAAAAGCTGGGCTGGGGAGGAGTTCCCAGGTCAAACGGTGCCCTTCTGAATGGCTGTACCCAGGGGATGCCCAGCAGGTGTTTCAGCAAACTGCGCTGAAGTCTCGGCAGAGAGCCAGGTGGGGGCATGGACGGTCAGCACACGTGTGGGGGAAAAGCGGAGCTGGGGGCACTTGCTGACAGAAGCCGTGGCAGTCAGGCACCAGCTGCAGCTAGGGATGGGCAGGCAGTTCTTGCAGCCAGCTGATTTCCAAGCATTGCCTTCCTCAAGAGACGACATTGCATAGCAGAAGAAAGCTGGGAAAATGCTTCTTCCTCATGATTTTTCCCTTGTTGATGCTTTCTGTAGGTTCCTCTCCAAAAGGAGAACTCAGGAATCCAGGCAGCTGAAGATTGCGGCGCTGCAGGCGATGTCAAGTAAGGAGTTTGGAGTGCAGGAAGGGGCAGTGAGAAGTGAACTATCAGTTGTGTTTGGGCTGTCAAAGTAGCATCTTTCTGTTTTCTGGGGGGACATGGGCTTACTAGGCAATACTTGTGCTGCCTGCTGGTGTCTGTGAAATCAACACACCATCTGTTGTTGTAGGGACAAAACCTGTGCATCTGTGGAACGGTGCGGGGCAAGGAGGGAAACGGAAAGCCTCCGCAGGTAAGAAGCTCCTGTGAGCTGTGGTGTGGGCACTGCCTCTAAACAGGGCTGCATGAAGGGCTGCGTGTGATGGAGGGGAGAGGAAGGGACTGCAGTTCTGTGCTGACTGCAGAAGTGGCACAGGGCTGCAGCAGCAGAAAGGCAAATTGCCAAAACTGCTGCTGAAGACCAGAAGTTTGTGGTTGGCAGTGCTCAAATCTTCCTCCCAAGAGATGCTCTTCATGTCTTTCTTGTCTCCTTTGTGTCAGAAGCTGATGCCAGTGGCCTTCCTCTGAAGCGCAGCCACGTGGAAAGCCAGGAGTGTGGCACAGCACCCAAGAGAGGTACAGACACACAGCAGGCATCTGGGTTTGGTGCACTGTCTTTCTAGTTAGGCTTTCTGCCTGTTCTTTCCTGGGACTGTTCTCATTGCGTGGGGTTGCTTGGGGTTTTAATCCCTGGGATTGACAGTTACCTCTCCTGTCCTGATTTATAATGGGATCCCAGCGTTCACCCAAGATCCCTTGCTGTGAACATGGTACAGGAGAGCAGGCATTGACTCTTTAGGATTTTTTCTTGCTGTTCCCAGCAGTGGCGAGCAGCTCGGATGTGCCGGAGGACATCACGGACATCCAGGGTTTGCTCTCTTGGATCAATGGTGAGTTTGGGGCTGCAGAGCTGCAGGTGCGTGTTTGCACAGAGTGGGTGTGAGAGGGCTCTCATGGCCATTTGGGGGATGTTTTTGCATTTTCAGACGTGGCAAGAGCTGCTGAGGTCCCCCAGGAGAACCCCAGCAGCCCTGCCCCCGGATGTCTCATCGCTGAGCTCCCTGACAACCCTGGGGACAGCAGAGAGCTCAGCACACAGGCTGCTACCGGGACGTCCACCGACCCCTTCTGGGGGCTTCCTCCATCCCCCGGGCTCCTGTCTGAGCTGCAGTGCGGGCTGTCGGAGCTGCGCCCCGTCGTGCCACCAGCGAGCGCCCGGCTCAGCCCACGGCCGACCACCCTGGCCGTCAGCGCACCTCCCTCAGCGCAAAGCGCACAGCCCACCGAGGAGGTGCAGCAAAGGCAGCCCCAGGAGGCTCAGGCTCACTCGCCCCCATCGCCAGGCTCTGTCCCCAGCCAGGTGACAGAAAAGAAGAACAGGGGCAGCACCAAGCGGGGGGCCAAGCGCCCTGCGCCTGCCGGCACCCTGCAGAAAGGGGAGAGATCCCAGCAGGAGCAGCCCACCAGCAGCGCTCCTGCCAAGAAAAGGAAGCTGCCGCCCCGCGGGGAAAGAGCAGAGAGGAAAGGCCGCAAACAGCCGTGCCAAGCAAAGCTGTCTGGGGCCGGTGCAGGAGCCAGCGAGCTGCGCAAGCACCTGCAGCAATGCATCCAGGCCGTGCACCCGCTGGGGCAGAGGGCGACTGCGGTGGGCCCGGTGCGCCAGCCACCCTCTGTGCAGCCCCAGCCCTCAGCCACCGCTGGCCCTGCTGCCCTCCAGCCCCAAGACAGCCATGCGCACAAGGCAGAACCAACGGCTCCAGGCAGCACGGTGCAGGAGGAGGGTGCTGCCAAGGAGGCGACGCCGAGCTGCCCGCGCCCGTCCCCGCAGAGGAGCTCGGCGCTGCAGAGGGACCCACCGCCACCACCACCACCACCAGCGCTGCACCAGCAGCAGCCTCGGCCCCGGCGCCCCGTGGACTTTGTGCCCTGCGTGGGGCCGCAGGCGGGTGGCGGTGTAATACCGCTGGTGATGGAGGAGTCGCTGCCCATCACAGCCGAGCAGCGGCCCGAGCGGGAGCGCATGAAGAACCTGGCCCAGGAAGAGCGGCAGCGGGCGGCCCAGCAGATGAAGATCGGCCCCGTGCAGTTCCTGGTGCAGCGGGAGATAGACATGGCCATCGCCGACCAGTACGGCTACCCGTAACCCTGCGCTCCTCGCCGGCCCGCAGCACCAGGCAGCAGCGGCAGCGTTCCAGGGGCCCTGCCAGCGGCCCCATCTCTCCCCTCCACAACCAAGCCGTCCTCCGAGTCAGCACAGCAGTGGGATGGGACGTCTGGGAGCACAGCTGTGGTGGGACTGGAATTTTAGCATTACTGTTGTTTCTGTTTCTCCTTGTAATCTAGGATAGGTTATTACAAGCTTTGCATTCCATTTGCTACGTCCCTCTGCCTGCAGTCATTTGTGCCGTGTCACAGCCCCCAGCTCCCCATGCCTGCCTCCGGAGCAGGACAGGCACCACGGATGGCCCATGGTGTCCCTCAGCTGCCACCAGCAGCCCCAGCCCTCCTCTCTCCCTGCAGTCCTTTGTGCAGCTGGATGCAGAGGGTGTTTCACAGAGCTCCCTGCGCTGCCCAGTGCCGTGAATTCCTTGCGGATGGGCAGCAGGCAGGGCGGATGGAGGGGAATGGCCCTGGCTCACTATGGCCAGAAGAGACTCCAGCAGGGGCAGTTCCTGTGGAGAGATGAAGCAGGGGCAGCCGGGCCTGCTGTGCAGACAGACATAAAGATACCACCCATGCCATGGCTCTTCCGCGCCCACCTTGTTTGCAGCACCATTTAGCAATCCCCCCCCACTAATATTTATAATAGTTAGCTCAAAAAATCCAGATTGTTTTTAAATATAGTTTTTAATTAAAAGACAACCCTGCAGCCAGTGCTGTCAATCTTTCTCACTGGACTGGGAGCTCCTCCTAGCAGTGAATTCTCTCTCTGTACCATTGGTTCTGTAGCAGTTACTGTTTGCCTCCACAGCCCTCTGGGGTCCCTGCATGTGTCCCTTTCTGGAATCTTACTTCTCATTGGGAAACACCCTCACACCTTTCCTCTTTGCTTTTGTGTATGGAACACCTGTAATTTGTCCTCCTTTGCATGAACTTTATTACAACCTTTGGGCTGTAATACCCATGACAACGAAAACTCAACTTGCGTTTCAATGTGACGCTGCTGTGTTTTGTACCAATTTCCAGATCAGTGCTCCTTTGGTCTCTGAGGTAGGACATAATAACCTATCCTGAGGTAGGGTGAAGGGGAGCGGCGTGAAGCTGTGTGCGTTCCCTGCTGGGGGGCCATGCTGGCGGGGGGGGGATGGTTTGCTTTTTCTTGGCAGGGTGGGCAGGAGCTCTGGGTTAGAGGAGCATCCCGACGGCACGCCTGGGATCAGCAGCTCTGCCACAGGAGGAGGTGAGGCTGCACACCGAGCTGCAGGAGAGGAAGGGGAGGAGGTCTCGGCCCAGCTCTGGACGGTGCTCTGCGGCACTGGGCAGCTCGATCCTGGCTCAGCAGTGGGATCACGCAAGGAGCGGGGGAGGCAGGGAGGGCACTGCCAAACACAGCTGGGGCGTCTCTGTGCAGTTTTGCCTCCCCGGGAGGAACCCAGAGCTTCCCGGTTTGTTTCTGCTCCTGTAGCATTTGTATGCAGTGGGAGCATAAGGTTCTGCTGCCTTATTCTTCTTCCGGCCTTTGGTATCTTCAGGGGGGCTGCAAGAAAGAAGGGGAAAGAGTTAGAGAGTTTAGATTGGACGTATGGAAGAAGTCTGTTACAATAAGGGTGGCACTGCAGCACAGACACTGAGGGACCCTAGGGATCTCTCGAGCCCTGAGCACTGTGTGTCAGGGCCTGGGGATAGATGGGATGGAGGGCGCCATCCCTGCCCCGTACCAGGGGGACCATTGCCACCCGCAGAGCTTCCCTCATGCTTTGGACAGCTGTGCAGAGGAGGAGGGTCTCGAGGTATCCTAGGGATGTGATCAGCTCTGACATCCTCCAGTGATCAATAAAGCCCTCAGCAGAGCCACACTCTGTGTCTGCGTCCCCATGCTCAGCAGGGGCTGTTCGTGTCTGCTCCTGCCTGGCAGAGGCCACCTCTACGTGGTGGGAGGGGTCCCCAGCTCCATACCCCACACCCCATGTGCTGCACCCATGGGCCTCTCCATCCCTTCTGTGCTGCCTGCTCCAAAAAGGACACAGCTCCCCATGCTGCCAAGTAGCCCCAGTACCCTCCCTCTGCTCTCTCCCAGTCCCTCCTTCCAGTTCCTCCCAAACCCTTCAAATCTCCTCCCTGATGACCAATGACGCCCTCTGCTGATTAGCAAAGCCCTCTGACCTCACTGAAGATCCCTGATCATCAGTGGAGCCCTCTGACAGCCAACAAAGCCTTCAGTGACCGCTGACGCTCCCTGGTGGCAAATTGAGCCCCCGATGATCAGCGGGCTGCTGTATCACATGCAGGAAAGGGAAGTGAAGGGCGAGAAAGAATATTTTGACATCATTAGGTAGACAGCATGGTTTGCTCATCACAGAATAAAGATTTGTGTGGATTCAATTAAGCACCGAATTTGGAGAGAAGTGTGACTGCACCACACCTGTGTGCGCTGCCCGCTGCCTGGGACCGGCTGCCTGATTCTAAGCCCTCCTCCAAGAGGCTCAGCTGCTCCTCAGCGATGCCGACCCGCTCCTCGTGGAGCTGCTGCTGGCCGGGCACTCGGACTCCGCTTGGCTGGGCTGCACTGCAAAGACACTGGGTCACAATCCAGGCTGGGGACTGCGATGGCTGCTGGGCTCAGGTCAGCATCTTCAGCAGAGCCAGGAGAAACGAGGGCGGGAGGGTGGATGAGCTCCTTATCCCCATCACTGTTGTGCTGTGGAAGGCAGCCATCAGACCTGCAGCGATTCGTGCTTCCTGAGAGCTCGGCACTGAAGGAAGCACTCAGTGCACCACCACTGGGCCTGGGTCAAAACCACTGAGATTCACCTAGGAATGAGCAGATACACGGGGTGAGTGTCAAGTGTGCAAGTAGGCCACGCCACTGGGCTGATAACCAGAAGCTCGGTAGCACTTACAGTCCTGTGTCTGACTGCATTCCGTATCTCCAACCACGTCCTTGCCCCAGATCGGGGGGGTGGACAGTCCATTCCTGGGTGGCCCACTGCGCAATGCAAAGAGTGAGCCCCCGGCACACAGCCCAACTATCTGTGCAGATGTTCAGGATGCCATCACCGGGTCCCTCGCTCACAACCATCCGCACGGCTCGCAGTTCTGCCCGTTGCCTGCTCTGACCATCCCCCTCGTCCAACCAGATCGTCTCGCTGCAAGGATCGTACGCTATTGCTCTCCACTCGCTCGGGTTGCCCTTGCTGGACCCATCTGTGCACCAGGCATCTTCAGGGATCGGATATTTTCCCTCCTGAACGGGACTCTGCTCTGCTGGAGCGACCAGTCTTTCTTTTGCTGCATCACTCCCTGAAGCTTTGGAGACAAAAGTCAGTTGAAAGACTAGAACAACACAGAGCAGGAGGGGGAAGTGCAAGTGCTCGCCCAGAGACAGAAAAAAGGTTGATTCAAGTATTACAGTATGACAATCATGCACTGCAAATACCCCAGTCAAGTGAAAATCTGCAGTCAGTACAGGAAGCCTGAGGTTTCAGCATTCGCAACAGAAGCCAGCTAACAGAAGCACTGCGGGAGCTGCATCTGCCTGTGCCCCTTCTCTCATGAAGCCCAACACCAAACATTTGTGCTCAGCTGCTACTTTAAAACACCACAGTCACTGTTCCAACAGCCCTCCTGCTACCTCTTCCATCAGAGCTGTGCCTGCAGACCCCAGGCAAGGCCGGGGTGCTCTGCCTTATCCAGAATAACAAAAACATGCAACGGCAGGAAGAGAAGAAGTTTGCACCTGCAACGCCCTGCCCATTTCTCTCTTCTGCTATTTGGTGCACTGCCAATACATGACCAGCCCCACCACTCCAATTTTTCTTTCTGAATTAGCAATAAGGCAAGCAAGTGGGAAGCAAAGGCATCTGGCAGCGATGCCAGTCAGCTCCTGCAAAAAGCAGCTCACCTCATACTTGGGGCCAAGTGAGAAACAGAAACACCCCGACCTGTTCCTGATCACAGTGCAAATGTGAGCCCTTTTCACACTGGAACCCTTTGGGCATTCCCTCTTTAGAAACAACAGCAACAACAGCATCACTGGAAGCTCGTTGAAGTCCACAGACCAAATCACCAGAACAGAAACAATGGGAGATGGCAGAGGTCTCAAGTAGCTGCAAAAGGAGCGTTAGGGCTTCAGGGCGGTTGGTTAGTTTGGTTTGTCACAGCAGTTAAGAAAGCAGGGAAGTGAGAGAGCTTTGTATTAACCGAGTTCAAAACAGACCTCAGAGCTCTGATTCCGGCTGGGAGCTCTGTGCACCGTACCCAGCACCAGCCATCTGCTGATCCATCTTGGGTTCTACTGGTGAAACAGCAACAGTGGCAACTACAGGAGACGTGACAGGATTTAAAGTTTAGAAAATAATGACAAAGAAAACCACAACACAACAGTCAGGTAACGGTGACCTAATCTCCTAAACTGTCTTTCTGCCAACCACAACTTCAGGGTTTCAGAGACCTTGGTGCATTATCAGCTTGCTCTAAAAATGCCTTATCTGCAAACCAGAAATGAGCATATCGCAGCTTTCAGACAAGCACCATCCAAAACAAAATGGAAGAAAGCCACAAACTTGCATCCCCCCCCCCCCCCCCACCCGAGTAAAAAGCCAGAAACTTTATTATTCATACCAAACTCTTATACACAAAAGCTCCTATGTCTTTTAAAATATCTTAGCTCTTAGTCCATCACAACAACAACGCGTCACACAAATGGGCCCACGCTCAGACCCCTACAATACAGACTTAATCTTCAGTGCATTGTGCTAGAAAAGCGTTCATTTCACTGTCACTTTGAATCAGGTCACGAGAAGAGTGGTAACACGACAGCCAGAATGCTGAGAATCAGCTGTGGAGAGGAAGTTTTGGAAACAACACGCCATAAGAATGACATGCTGTGAAAACGCAGAAAGCTGCTTGCTTGAGACTGCGCTGCTGCACTGAGGCAGAAGAGGCCACACTGAGCAAAGCCTCTGGAATTCCCTGAGGACGGCA